AAAAAAAAAGGTGTGCATCACACGTCCCTTGGAATCTCTCCTCCCCCCCCCCCCCTTTTTTTTTTTAAATTCCTTACTACAAAGATGAGGGAAGAACGATTCGGAGGAGGATAAAATAATAGCTGTATGAATTTTCTTGTGAGTAAGAGAAAACATGCAGAAAATTTTTATGTTGCAGAAGGCTGCCTTCTTTGGTATAATAAGTCTTATGAAACATTCAAATGTAAATTTGGTGGGGTTTTTTGTGTGTTATTTTGAAGAAGAATAGGGCTAAAAATCGTGTAGCTTGTCCCTTAAGCATCAACTCTGTTATTTTGCTGTACTGGGAATTACTAGTGTCTGTATTTCTTGCAATTCAGTGGTGACTTGTGGGTTTTATTATCCTTCATTCTGCAAGTGGTTATACGGTCTTCACAGTAACTTGCGGGTTAGCTTTGTTTATTAGTTTGACTCAGCTGGGGCTGCATTATTCTGCTGTGAACACGCAATGTTTATACACAAAATATAATGATGCTCAAGCAGACCTGTATCACTCTACTCTTGTTTAAAACTCCTGCTTTTTGCAGTGTGCATGACTGTTAAGTTTATTTCACTGTTTCATCAGGAGTAGCATGCATGATTTTCAAGACTCTGTGATCTTTGCAGCGGTAATTACAGATCCTGGGATTACCTAGAAAATGGTAACGTGGCACAGGAATAGATTTTTAGAATGAAAAAGTCGTCTAAAACACCAAAGACCAGGGTTGAATTCCAAACATTACTAAAAACCTCCTATGTGAGTCTTGGCTCAAGCTAGTTAGGAGAACAGAATGGTGTGCGTAATGATCTCTTTGGAAGACTAGGTATTTATTGAAATATGCTTGTCACAGTTCCCCTGCTTTAAAATGGGGCTGTCATTCTTTGTCTGGCATGTCATTCTAGATGGTTATCTCCTTCCCAGCAGCAGTATTTCTCTTTGTCTATTTTCAGCACAGTAGGGGCTGCTGAACAATATTTAAGGCTTCTGCGGTCTAATGTTGTGTAGCTACCTTGTCTGTGACTGTGTTAAAACTTGTTGATAATAACATTTAAGTGATGGAGACATCTTTCTGAAGTCAGGCTACTTGTTTCAAGGTGCTCAGGGTGGTTATGCAGCAGTGCAGAAATTAAAGCAACAGACAGACTTAATTTCCGTTCTTGGCAGATGAGGAAATATGACTCACCCCAGGCTGGACGCAGGGTGTCCATCAGAGCGGCTGAGCTGGGACCTGGCCTTTTCTCAGTCAGCCTCCTCGCACTTCTCCCTCCCCTCCCTGCCTGGTCTGCACCCTGAACGCCATGCTGCGTCCGTGACCTGGCTTTCTGTGCCGAGCTCCCACGGACCCTGCATCCAAAACCTTTGTGCGAAAGGGGGGTGACAGGAACTGCATTCAGGGTGGTGAGCCACAGTCTGCAGGCTGCACCTGCGGCGACTCCAAAACAGATACATCCCTCTGAGAAAGGAAACACTGTGGTGATCAAAACATGTGCCAAGGACATGTTTGGAACGGGTAGCCGTTCTCTTCCACCCTTTAAATTGCAGAGCCAGTTGCACTACTAGCAAAGCCAGTTAATTGGTTTGTTCATTTGTTCATGGGAAAACTTTGTTTTGTCTACCACTAAGTAAGACAAATGTAAAACTAGCATTACAAATGTCTGGTCAACTCCTACCTGTAACCTTGTTATTTCATAAATAAGGAAATAGCAGTTAAGTTATTTTTCAGGATTGGCACAACAATGTTAACAGGTACAGCTGAGTTCCCATGCGAAGAATAAAATACGGTGTTATAAGGCATGTGAATTTAAGGGAAGAGGTGATCCATGTGGGGCAGCAAACCAATCGCCCGGGGTCTAAAAATCTACCCCAGTCCAGTTTAAAGTACCATGTGGGGACTAGAGGCATTTGCCAAAAAGCAAATCGGCTTATCCAAGTTGTGTATTCTCAAATTCAGTATATGTCTCAAATTGGACCCGTATGCTGCTGACAGTTGTTTCTTAACCACTGAATGTGCTCCTGCTGTTGAAACGCTGAAGTTTCCGGGAGGCCAAAGCCCTGATGCTGCTGTTCAGCTGAGGTGCGGTGCAGAAGGTGGGCGAGAGGTGGCCGAGGATACGCCTTCCCCCTTCAGTGTCCTGCTTACCAGCAGCAGTACAGAGCCTCCTCGTGCTCTGGAGCAGTCTCCTGGCAGTGGGGTTCCCTGAAAAAGCTTTGACTCCTATTCCATGCCTTCCTGTATCATCACTTCAAAAAGCTGCTGGCTTTTTGGCTAACACAAGAATTCGCCTCGCTTACATAAAGAGAGTGGAAATTAAGAAATAAAGAACAGATTGACAAATGTGCACATCCTGGAAATGACTTTTATATTAAGGTACTTAAAGCAATGCTTTTCTAGTTGCATGTTCTGCAATAGGTTTTAACATGATGTAATTCTTGGATGCAACATTAATTTTCAAGGTGTGACTGAGCTGGGTAGGCCAGATCAGGTATGTTTAAGAGCAAAACTAAGGTTCAAGAAGTATATAATTTTATGGCCTACACTGAATGTAAGCTCAGCACAAACGTACTGGAAAAATGTGAAGAATTGATACTCCATTGACATTTTTCCAGTAACAATCTCCATTGTACTCCAAAATTATGCTGAGGCTTTTAGGGGCAGATGAAATAGGCTGAAATTGAAAAGTATTTTAAACATGTTGCATTTCCCCCATTTTCAAGATTAAAAAAGCAATGACCAGTTATCAAAATCTTTTCTTTCTTTTCCTCAAATTTCTCCACGCATTATTTCCATTACCTTGACAGGAGCCTTTCACGAAAGTGCTCCCTGGTTCTCTTTTTTGGAAGTTTTATTCTTTCCTTCTGTAAGCAGCCTTCTGTAGACATTTCCATTCACTCTGCCCTTTCCTCTCAGCTTGCAAGAAAATAATTTTCAGTCATCTTTGTTCCCTCCAGCCAGTGTCCAGAGAAGCCCTAAGCTGTGGGAGGAAGGACTTGCTCTTGTGTAACATTTCTTTGTAGGGAGATCGCATCCACTAGTGATAGCAGTAGGCCTGACATAGGTCCGGAGAGCAAAACACGTGGGCTTCTGTGTGTTGCTTGAGGTTCCTGCTCAGTACCAAATCAGCAATTTAAAATCTAATAAAAAGCAGAGAAAAATTGAGACGCTTTGTGTCACAGACATCTCTGAAGATTGTGTGGGGAAGGTCCCCTCAACAACTCTGCTGTTGACCACCACACTTTGTTCCAGTCTTAATGGGGTAATGTAAACTTATGTTATCAAAATCAGCATTTGCCAAAAAGTTTCTCCAGGCACTCGTCTGATTCTTCCCCCTCAGAGCTACCTCCTAAGAGGAAGATGATACAGCAAAAGGTCTTTTGGATTTCTGCTGTATTTCAGGTTTCAGAGAGCTCTTTGAAAACTGAGAAGTAAGGTTAACCATGAGGTACACTTGCCTCAAAGAAGCTGTTGTGAATTGATCAACTATAATATTCTTAGCCAAGCATCATCACAAAAATGGCCTTTAGCTTCAGTTTGCCTTTTTCTGTGCAGCTGTATCTGAACATAAAATGTGAGATCAGAAGTATCTTGAATTTCAGTTGTAATTAAGAATTTAGTAGTTCACAGCTAGGCTATCACATTTTCAATTACCCACCTGTATATGAATCTCTTGAAACAAAACTGCATTCTCTGAAGTAAAACTGAAATGGGTTCCCAGGCACAGTACTGCCCAAAGACGTTTGTAGCTCTGGTGAACACTTTGGAGAGGCACCTCCTAAGGAGCAATTCCTGCCATCTTCTGGGGAAATCTCTTGCAGCTCTTGGTGAGTTCATTAGCTGTGACTGAGATCCCCGAATCTGAGCTGGGACGGGAAAAACGGTGGAGTTTGGTAGCCAGTGATGTCTTTCTGCAGCTGGAAAGCCGTACTGACAGAGTCGCTCGGTGTTGTTTGTTGCAGGATGCTTGGCTCTGATGTGATTCCATTGCCCCATATTTACGGAGCGCGAATCAAAGGCGTTGAAGTGTTCTGCCCTCTGGACCCACCTCCTCCTTACGAAGCTGTGTGGAGCCAGAACAGCTCTGAGCAGGTATGGCCCACAGAGGTTTAAAGCGTAACTTGTTTTTCTGCTATAAAGGTAAGGTTGCACTGAGGCATGAGTCAGGAATCATTTCGTTTCAGAATACCAGGAGAATATGGTTATAAATGCAGCTTGCTGTAAATTTTACGGAAGATTTTAATTAGTCACTTACCTTTACAGTTGAAAGTTTTCCCGAGTTGGAAAACATGTCCGAGAACATGTCTGTTCCGAGAAGGAACAAAATACACTGTGGAGCACACCTGTTGCTGGTTATTCTAGAGGAGCCCTGTGCTGCCTCCTTGCTTTAGTTCCCTTCAGCACCTGCACTCCTCCCATGTGGGACTAGGTCAGGGTTTTGCCGTGCTCACTGATCCCTTTTCACTGGTGTTTTCAGAAGATAGGTGCTTTTTACCAGAAAATACTCACAGGATAGAATTGGCTGACCTGGATGATGAACATTAATTATAGACATTCACTAGTCTTGGTTTTGCAGTGTAATTAAATACATATCACATAGTCACTGCTCAGTTAAGCAAAAGTGTTCACTTTCTAAGGTGGATGTTGCAGTTCTTAGAAAGTACCAGAAAAAAGATGGCGGCTTGTGATTTTTCAACTTTTCTATTTTATTCCAGGAAGGTGCGCTACAAATAAGTGTCATGGAAGTTGTTGATTCGGGGGAAGTGAGTGACAGGCAGGCCTCTCAAGGTAAAAAATACATTTTAAAATTTGTTCTAGAACAGTTCTACCCAACCCAGATGACTTAATGTAGCAGCAGCATTATTATTTCTTTGAAAGACAGCCACCATATTGCAAGCCAGAGATACAGAATTATGATTAGTTTGGGCAACAGGAACAGGGATTAATGTTTAAAATACATAAAAAGTTGTTTGCTTTTAAGATACAAAAAGAAAGATATATTTCCTTCTTAGTAATCTACAAGCTAGTTCTTGACTCTATGTCCATATGTTGTAAGAAATGATGTCCAGCTCCAGTGCTTCTATTTGTTTTGTATACATGATGGTGCCAGTTGACAGCCTGTGGCTTCTCTTCTGCCAACCTACTTCTCCAGCTATAGGAAAACTTTGGTGTGAAGCTTATCAGTTGGAATTGTCCCTACTAAGTGCTGGCAGGAAAAAAAAATTGTTTACATAAAACCATACTTTAACCAAATAACAAGCCTTTCAAAGTTAGGTTACGTTCTGGCAGTCTACCTGAAACCTCTGAAAACAAGCACTTGGATGCTCCTGATATCTCATCAGTTGTGATAACCAGAAAGAAATTCAGAAAACTTGTAGCAAAAAGTTCAATTCTCAAGGACTTCTTATTGATAAAACTGCTGTTGCTTTCTCTGGGCATGAAAACAGGATATCAAACAGAGGGCTGCATGGTGACTACTTGAAGTTATGAGAACGGAAAGCAGGAAAAGAATACTGTAGAAAATGCAACTGTTGTGAAGGAGAGTCAGGAAAATTAAAAAAAAAAAAAAAGCCATGATGAGGCATTGTTTGTATTTAAAAACTTCCTTTGCAAGCAAGCAGACCTGAGCACATGTGATAAATTGTACCCTCCTCCCCATCTTTTTAACAGGTTTGTCTGTCTTTTTTTTTTTTTTAAAGAGGCCTGTAAAGAGACATTTAAATCTCAGCCTGGCTGTTAAATTCAGATAAAGAAGAAAGCATCTTAAGAAAATTAACTCTGCTACTTCTAGAGGCCAAGGCTTCCTAGGGGCAGAGAATTTTAAGAAAAGGAAATCTGCTGAGCAGTATCTTTTCCTTTATTTATATTTGGGGAGGTGTACTGGGTCTTGCTGGGGTGGAGTTATTTTCTTCATAGCAGCCCATATGGTGGTGTTTTGGATTTGTGACCAAAACTGTTCATAACACAGCAATGTTTTAGCTCTTGCTAAGCAGTGCTTGCGCAGCATTGAGGGTTGCTCCATCTCTTGCTCTGCCCCTCACAGTGTGTAGGCTGGGAGTACACAAGAAGTTGGGAGGGGACACAGCTGGGACAGCTGACCCCAACTGACCAAATAGATGTCCCATGCTGTATAATGTCGTGCTCAACAATAAAGACTTGGGGGGAGTTTTCCAGGGTTGCCGTTGCTCAGGGACTGGCTGGGCATCAGTCAGCTGGTGGTGAGCGATTGGTTTGCATCCTTGTTTTTCTTTAGTTTGTTTTGTTGTTCTCCCCCCCATTAAACTGTCTTTATCTCAACCCAAAAAAAGTTCTCTCACTTTTGCCCTTCCAATTCTCCTCCCCATCCCGCTGTGGGGGGAGTGAGTGAGCAGCTGTGTGGGGCTGAGCCACCTACTGGGGTTAAACCACAGCAGGAGGGAAATACAAAATGAGGGGATACACTGGAGTTGTGGCCGAGTAACTCCATGGGCTGTCTCAGCTGATGTAGAGTAGCAGTCTATAAATAAAAACTGAACTTTTGGGTTATGCTGGTAGTCTGTCGTGCCAGGGCACTTGTGTATGATGCCATGATTCCCTTGGCATCGTCACGACTGATCGACTAAGTGTAGCTCCTGATGGAAGTTAAAGCTACGCACTACTGTCTGCCAGCAGAACTCAGGAGTCCTGGCTGCCTGCTGCAGGAGGAGCTGTAAGCTTCTCCGTGCCAGCTAAAATGGTTTTACTGACTTCAAAAGCACTCCTGTCAAGCAAAATGGGACTTTCCCTGCCGACTGTAGTAGGAAGACATGCAGCCTTCTACTGATGGCTGAGGATGCTTGGCAGCTGCTCTATATCATCACATAGTTGGACTTGGTCTTAAAGGTCTTTTTCCAACCTAAATGATTCTATACTAGGTATATGCATTTCCAGTACACACCAGTTAAGCCAGTTATCTCTGACACCTGAAACATTAATATTATGAAGAATTAGCATGTGATCATTAAATTGCTCCATTCATCTGTCTAGTATTTAAAAAAACCCCAAACTTCGCCAGAGTACCGGCAGCACTGTACCTCAAGGACTGAGTGCTAGTACAACTCCACTGGTGTTAAAATTTATGTTGGTGATGGATTCTTTAATCCTGCCTGATTCTTGGTCTGCCATGCTTTGTTGCTGGGTCCTACCTCCTGACTTTCCAGGCTGGTATCTGCTTTATATAGGTTGTGTCACTGTTTCTTATCTTTAGAGATTCTAGGTTGCATTTCTGTAGGAGATAACGTGCTATGCTCAACAAGTACATGTTATCCAAGCCTTAAGTTTCTCGAATGCTCCAGTCACTGGTACGTTTCTGTTAGAGTAGCAGCACAAACATTTGCCACGTTCTGAATAAGAGACTGTTTACATTAATTTGGATTTTTGCTCTTGCATGAGCAATAACATTGTTTCCTGTAATATGCCAGGTGCCATGAGGTGGAGGTACAGAACCAGGCTTGGTGAGAAATACATAGCTTTATCCTGTCCTGTTCACTAAAAGGCAGTTGTGGGAATCACAGCATATAATTACACCCTAAGGAAAAGGAGGAACGTTGATTAATTGGAAAGATGAAACACATCACAAGAATTCAGGACAATCTTTATTTTAATAAAGAACCTCATGAAACAAGATTTTTAATTCCCTTATAGGGACGAGCTACCTAATTGCAAACAGTGACTGACCTCTGTGACCATATGCTGTCCATATCTCGGTACAACTGCTTATATGCAGGAAGATTTCAGGCTCTGTGAGGTTTAGTTTTCTCTCCAAGAAAGCTGTAGCTCCCTTCTGTCTGATCAGGTAGTTTAAGATGAGGTTTATACTACGCAAAGCTGTGGGTTTTTTTGCTACTCCAGTTGTATAAGGCTGAACAGGTTTCTGCAAATGTTTAAGTAGGCTTTAGGGCAGGCTTTAGGCCGGTGTTTCTGGTGAGTGTGGGGATAAGCACACATACATGCACCTCTAGGCTTTTGTGTCCAGTCACTACAGCTTTGTTGGCGGGTGGGGGTGGGGCACCAAAAAAATCGGTAATAACCTCTAATAACGGCTTCTACAGATCTGCTTTATTCTGACTACTTTTCCTTCACCTTTACTATTCTTGATTACTCAGGTGAAGAAATTCCTGAGTCTTCCAGCAGAGTGAGCCTTTCACTTTCAAATGCAAGGCTGGTGCCGGCAGAAGGAGTGTGCAGGAGAGCCTTCAATCCCTTGCGGAAATGGTCTAAAAGTGACCCTGTGCTGCACTGCCAGTTGCTTCAAGGTGACTTGATTTTCTCTATCAGTGCTTACGCAATGAGTCCTTAAAAGAACATTTGTCAGAAGGTTAGTACCTTGAACCTAGTACCCGCATAAATCGGCTACTGTCTCCCAACAGAGTACCTACATTACAGCAAACAGTTTGTGCTTTGCCAAATCTTCTCCACCCAACACCTTAGTCATGCTGCTCTTTAGGCTTTCACATCTAGGAACAGGGTCGGTAGTAGGCATTGCTATTTTGGGGAGGAGGGAGGGATGGTGGAAGAGGAGGAGGAGGGCGCACATAGGATTTCTCAGTGTATTCGTACACTGGCATCTAAAAGCTTGCAAGGGCAGTTGTCAATGTGAGCAATTTAAAGCAAAATTAGCTTGGCTATTTGGTATTAGACTATAAATTTACGCCCCTTTTCTTGCTCCTCATAGCATCAAAAAACCTAAAAACTCAACACAGAAAACCCACAGTGGAGAGCTGATGAAGTCTGTCGTAGCTACTTTGGTGCCAGTAATCCAATTCAGTTGCTGTGGGAAAACTGCTAGTGTGGCTGCAGAGTCCTGGATTCTGTTGACAGTCTTAAAAATCCACTAGTCAAAGAGTCTTGCAGTTTTTATTAAAGGATATTGGAATCAGCATAGGAGCTGCTGATACATATTAGCACTCACAAAATGTAAGCAGGGAGGAGACATGTTAGTAACAACCATTTATTTTGAGTATTGGGAGCATGCCTATCTGGATTACACTTACTGTTTTGTGGAATGTTTTTATGTCTCTGCTACATCATGTGTTTTCTCTTTTCCTCCTATCAACTTCCACCGCAGCACCCCAGAGAATCTGCTGCTGAAGCAATGGTTACATGACACAGAGCCTATTCATAGCTGTGAAAGCGGAGCGGAGCATTTCTGCTGTAGAGAGACTCCATCAGTCAGAAGCATTTGGGCGCTTTAGGCTTGGTACAACTGAGGTTAGGTCTGTTCAGCACTGGATCTGAGAGTTAAATACATGAGTGCTGCAGAAAGGGAACTCAGCTGCCACAGAACAACGGAAGTTGTTTCAAGTTAGTTAGTGCTCTTCTTGCTGGAAGGATTTGGATCGCCTCCTGGTATTATTGTTTGGCATAAAGCCAACATTAAAGTGCTTCTTGAACAACCTGTGGGTGCTCTTTTTTTTTTTTTTTTTAACAGGGCCAAAAATTAATGATTGTTATTTAGACCAAAGGCAGTGGAATTGATTCCCTGCTGCCCCTTGTTTAGTCCTTGCAAGGTAATTTTTAAATTTTGTTTTCCATTAAATTTCCACTTTGTAGTATTACTAGCTTCCAGCTTGACAAGCACTTATTTTCAGATATTTTGTAACTAGCCCTCTTGACTGGTAATAACTGAAAATTACAAAAAGTTTAGGAGAGATCATAAAGGCCTTCAAGCTCTGCTTAACCTGGTTTGTATAGCTGAATGTTAACATTAACACTCAACGCTCATTTCAGGTCTACTCAGAACAGAAGCAAAAGAGAGAAAGGAACCGATGTACACAAAATGGCAAACAGCTTTCCCAGAAATGTCCCTCCAGACCCTTTGACATGTGCTATGCACATAGCTATGTACTACTCTATTTCACAGGCATTTTCTGTAGTGTAAATCCAATACAGAGTGAGCCTTGCGTGCCGCCCTGACCATGACAGACTTAAAGTTTTACGTGATTAAACTGTGCACTGCATCATCACTGAATCAGGATTGAAATCTCAGGGGATACTTGTTGAACAGTACAGTGAACCAAGTGGATTGTTTGCTCTGTTTGATGTTTGTCTTCAGGGGCAGTGCTCAGCTGTGAAGCTGCAACGCAGACTGAAGTAAAACCACAACTCTGCGCTGTCACCTTGCGGAAGAGTTTGAGAGCAAGAGCTTTGAGGGGAAGACCCCAATCTTTGATAGACTACAAATCTTACACAGACACTAAACAGCTTGTGGCATGGATCCTAGAGCAGTCTTGCAGCATGAGCCCTGACATACACGAATTGGTGGAAAATATCAAGTCTGTTTTAAAATCAGATGAGAAACATATGGCAGAAGCTATCACCAGTGCCACCTTCCTTGAGCAGGTAGTTTTATTACTTGTATTTATTGGGTGATGTGGAAACCCAAGCTGGGCTTGGTTTGGGAGTATAGGTTTATATTTGCCACTCTGCTTTGTGTGTCAAAGTTTTTGGACCCAATTAGCTTCCTTTGGTACTTTAGTTTTATTTAGAGAGTGTGTGAGAGGCTGTGCAGTTAATGATGTCTCTTGCTCTATCAACCACACAGCCAGGAAGGTTTTCAGAGGACTGAATACATGTGTATTTAAAAGCTGAAGGAAATGGTTTTCTGTGGTAGAATCATGAACTGTAAATAACCTGACAGTGTTTTATATTGCGTGTGGCAGGGGAAAGGGAAGAGATACTATAAAGCATTTACTGTTATAAACTGGAAGGAATGGAGGCTGACAAGGAAATCTTTATGTAAACCCATTAGAAGCAACTTTTTGTAAGTGGCTCCCAGGATAAAAATAAGACCTACTACTAAAGGAAAAAAAGCAGAAAGTAGAAAATGTTTGCTTACATTAGTGGAATGAATATTCAGAAGTTTCAGACATTACAGACTTCATCAAATGTTTTGGTAGCTTACAGACCATTTGGATAGATAGGTTGATTCACACACGGTACAAGTGACTTGCTGTGACTACTGGTTTTGGTTTGAGTTCTCATGCAAAACACATCAAAGATTTTAATTTAGGCTCTGCAGATAAAATGAGATTTCCCACTACAGCCTACAGGCAACAAAAGCCTCAACAAATTTGACAGAAACAGCTGAAAAAAAAAATTCCGTATGAGAATTCAATTTATCACACTGGCCTGAAGTTTATTACAGTCCAGTGGCTTCTGCAGAAGACAACATTTAGATTCCTGTCAAGCAATACCTGACGTGCCATGGTTTGGGGTGAACTAATTCTTGTGCAGCTTAAAAAAAATAAAGAAGGACAACACACACTCCTTTTCCCAATTGGGATTGCTTTTCCCATGCCTCCTTGACAAATAGTAGTTTTAGTCTCGGCACTACAACTACCTTCTTCCTAGTTGGGTAAAACTATTTTAATGGAACAAGAGCCTGAAAACAAATCTGATTTACTTTTTTTTTTTTCCTTTTAAAGGTGATGACACCTGCCCAGCAAGCCATGTCATTGAGTGCCCATGTGTTACCTTTCAGACAGCATCCTGGATTGCTGCACCTGGAGAGCTGTGGTGACCTGAGTACTTTCACCACAGCTGAAGATCAGCTAGCAGAGAGGAGGATCCAGAGAGCAGAGCATGAACGGCCTCACAGTCTTATTGGTGTTGTCAGGGAAACTGTACTTTGAGCTGGTTTCTGTTTATCCCTCAGCAGAGCACTTCTGTCAGACATTCATGCTGCACAGGAAAATCATCTCTGACAAGTGGGTGGAAGAGTGTGTCGATAATCCTTTTTTTTTTTTTTTTTTTTTTTTTTTTTTTTTTTTTTTTTTTTTTTTTTTTTTTTTTTTTTTTTTTTTTTTTTTTTTTTTTTTTTTTTTTTTTTTTTTTTTTTTTTTTTTTTTTTTTTTTTTTTTTTTTTTTTTTTTTTTTTTTTTTTTTTTTTTTTTTTTTTTTTTTTTTTTTTTTTTTTTTTAAAATAACCTCACACTCAGACTCCTGAGGGGAAGCTCGTTCTACGAAGCCTATTAAGCAGATGGCAAGCTGGCCTTTATTGGGCTGCTCAAGTGCAACTTGTCTATTTGTGATATGGTACTGTCTTGTTGCATCTCTCTAGTCTATCACCACTTAGGACGGATTTGCTTTTTTTACTCAACTTACAAGAGAGATGGCAGAATGGCTCTATGCCTTGGTTTACTGGGGTGAGGCAAAGACAGTTAATGCATGTGTGCACTTTGTATCTCATTGGAAAACAGGGCCAGTGTCAATGCCTGTGTTCATCTGGTGTGTGTTACTGTAGCTCCACTGATTTTTTTTTTATTTTTTTTTTTTTTCCCCCTGGCATATAGCAATTTAATTCCTAGTAGAGGTGCTTGTTATGTACCAGCTGACATCCATGCTGGAAGCATGTACACTGCCATCTCAAAATCCTCTGCAGACGTGCAGGTGACTACCTAACATTGTTTTAGCAGTCTTAACCACTAGGCCACAGTGACCCATGAGTTGACACCCTCTGGCTAATAAACAAATGTATATGCCAGTTGGCTCAAGCTGTTGATTGCAGATAGTTTGTTAAGCTCTGTTCTGTATGTATGCTGCTAACGCGGAATACACTAAGTATTTCCAGAGGCTGGGATCAGGCACACAAATTTTACTTGCAAGGCTAGTTGTAGCCTTCTGTATCTCAGCAGGATGGCTAAATATTCCTGCTGCTCTTTTAATGACAAAGCTTCATTTAAAAAATTATTAAACAGCTTTCCCACTGAAAACCAAAAAAGCTTTAAAGTGAGTTTTAATTAAGCTTGTTCAGAAGTTGAAACTGTGCAGTATGGCTTGACTCACTAAAGATGCTAACTTGAATAAAATAAAATGCTTATCTCTATACTAGAATTGGTGTTTTATTCTTCCTATCTAGTAGAGGAAATACATTAGGGGTATTGAGTTTGCTGGAGCACTGGCATATTGGTACATTTTGCTCTCGGAAAAGCACAGCAAGTAAAAATTGAGGGGTTTTGTCTTGGCGAAGAAAGAAAACACTACGAGAACACAGTGCTTCATTACACTAGCCTTTACCTCAGCTCTGTTACATATTTTGCAATTCCATCACACTTAAAACTCCAACTCTTCTTGTTACATGCATCATCTTAAGTGGGAGTTCTTTTAGATCTTCAGTGTTGGCTTCCTTTTCCCAGTTAATCACTGCCCAAGAGGAAAATCATGCGCACCCCATCAATGCAAACTGTATTTCTAGTAGTTCTTGACAGCTCTTGCCTTGCTGTCACACTCTAGGTATAAATTCCCTGCAACACTACTGGGAGAAAAGTCTGCAAAGGTCCCTGGGTTCCAAGTCAGGATGCAACGTAAGCTTATGCTTCGGAAGACTTGTTATTTGTAATTCAGTTAATTGCTCATTATCCCAGTGGAACAGGACTAACCTGAGCTGAACTTACCAGCCATGGGACAGTGCTTCAAAAGGCAGGTACATGTTTCAGATAACAGGAGAGAAAAAAATCTGATTCCAGTAAATTATCTGCTTACCATAGCTCTTAATTTCTAATTGACCAGGCAGTTAATTACTCCAGGATGAGTGCCACAATTCTTTATAAAACCTATGAATGAAGTTATTACCCAGGTAAGCTGTTTCCGCAGTGACCTGCACAAAACATGACCTGTTTTATAGCCGGTCATGCTTTAATGGACAGTAAGAGAAACAATGTAGCAACAGCAGCTGTTCCACCAGAGGAAAAGATTTAAAAAAAAAAAAAAAGTATTCTGAGTCATCAACTCTTCTGAACAATACTCACATTTCTGTTATCACAGGCTTCTCTAGAAGAGCTGTTCCCTGTCCCAGAGGAGTGTTTCAGAGCGCTGACAGCCAGGTCTGCGCCCAGGGTGCACTACGGGTAACCAGTCTCACTTCATACGGAGAATGCACAAGCTGAGGCGCTTTATGTCAGGGTAGGAGCCTATCTGTACCTATACGTGTACCTCATGTAACACACCTGCAAATTTTGTAGCTGAATCAATGTGTAAAAAATACTGGAATTCCCGTATTTCTTGGAGACTGGCCTGAACACCAAGCAGAATGGTTTCTGCAGCCAGGCTGTGCTCTATTCTGCACCAGTGACTTGACAACGTTACTGGCTATGGACTGGACAGGCAGGTCCTTGCTACATACCCTTCAGGACTGTTTTGTCCGCTAGCGCCCAGCCCCTTCAGCCACTACACCTAATACCGCACCTTGGCTGCCGTGAATTTACAGCCCACCCCACACACCTCTGACTGTGGCACACCAATTCAGAAAAGATGAAATACTTTCTAGATAGGAAGCAAACCTACTGCAAAATAATGCTCTCACAAACTGAGTAGTTTTCCAAGATACAAGTTAAGTTTCTCTACAAGTATTAGAACAATAACATTGCAAGTTTCAAAAAAAATTAGTTACCCATCTACCAAAACAAAGTAGCAAGTTTTAATTTAATTATCTTCAGGCACTGAGAGACACAGTAGCATAACCGGTTTCTTTTTCTTAGTCATAATTAGAATCTCAGCAAGAGATAATGTAAAGGACGCTTACCACACTTAATGCTATTTCAAGTTTAAAACATGCAAAGATTTCATGAGCTACAAGGTGTCTAGAGGCTCACTTTAACAACCACAGTTCCAGTGACAGTGCAGCCCTTAGCAACAGAAGAATAATTTTCATTTCCTAAAGTGATTTTTATCCCTCAAGGAAAAGTTTATGCAAATCTCTTTCATCAGAACCAGTCTCCCACCAGCAGCTTTTTTTTTTTTTTTTAAACTACCAGCTTTATGAGCTATCATACATTCAAGAGATAAACCTCTCATGCCCCTTCCCATTTGCAAATGCGGTCTTATTTCCCATGCAGGCAGCCTTCAGAACGAATGAAAAAGTCTCCCTTCATCAACAGCACAGATGCTTTCACCACTCCTCTCCTCCTGCAACTCTCACCCAATGGAAAAGCCACCACTTAGAGCAATGAGAATTTATTAGTGGGCGAGATGCTGCCCTCTTAGTCCCTCCCAGACCTTCTCATTCTAAAACAGGGGGGCACAAAACTCAGTGCAATCTGTCATACTGTCTCTCTTCCCACTGCTGCCAGGGTACATCTCCTCACTTTCCATGGTCTTGCTTGAAGATACCTTTCTGGACGAGGAGCAGCATACACATCTCCTCACTCAGTGGGGAAATTCACAGAAGCCGTGGAACATGCTGCATGGGATGGAACAGGGAGGAAAGGCAGCTGTCCTGGTTTTGGCAGGGATAGAGTTAATTTCCTTCCTAGTAGCTGGTACAGTGCTGTGTTTTGGATTTAGGGTGAGAACAAAGTTGATAATGCACCCATGTTTTAGTTGTTGCTAGGTAATGCCTACACTAACCAAGGACGTTTCCCATGCTCTACCAACTGAGAAGGCTGGAGGTGCACAAGAAGCTGGGAGGGGGCACAGCCAAACTGGCCACAGGGACGTTCCATACCATGTGACGTCATGCTCAGTAAAAAAAAATGCTTGGGGACTGGCTGGGCATCGGTCGGCGGGTGGTGAGCAATTGTACTGTGCATCACTGTGCTTTGTGTGTTATTATTTTATTTCAATTATTAAACTGTTTTTATCTCAACCCATGAACTTTTCTCACTTGTGCTCTTCCAATTCTCTCCCCCATCCCGCCAGGTGGGGGGGAGTGAGCGAGCAGCTGTGTGGTGCTCAGTTGCTGACTGAGGTTAAACCACGACAGCAGCGTACATGCAGACTGCGACAGGGTAAAGATGGTAGGAAGAAGCATCAGTGGGTAAGTGATAAGTGGAGGTTTATGATAAGGATAAGCATGAAAGATGGACTTAAAGTGGAAAAAAAATGTACCTGGTTTCAGTTTACTTCTCTGACAGTCATTTCTATGTCTTTCCCCTGTTCCCCCTAGCCCTATACACACATGCACACAGACTATCAGAAATGACAGGGTGGTGGAGGCAGAGGGCACAAGCCTGTTAGCCAGTTGCTTAGGATTCAGAGAGACATTTTTATGCCATCTTAATTTGCTCATTGGTAAAATCATCCAGTGGGGAAAAATTCCGCACAAAATTGCTGCTGCAAAAGCATGAGAATTAGCATAAATGATATGTTGCCTGGCTGAGCTGGAGTATGAACATTTGATACAGACACTAGGTTTCAAGGGAGGGGAGACTTCCAGGAGAGCAGTCATGCCAGGTGGTCAGTGGCAGAGAAAGTGAGGGTATCCAAAAACGTTGTACTGGAGAAGGACAAAAGTGTCCTTTCTAGAGCGTTTTACAGAAACAAAGTAGTTAGGATTGACATTTACAGCAACAATCAACCTGTTCAAGAATGAACCACAGCTCCCTTCCCATATGTGCTGCAGTTACTTACTTTGCACTAGGTTTGAGAAGCATCTCTCTTAATTAACATGCTGTTATTCCTAAAAATTGCTGCTGCCCTCCCTCAAAAAAGTCAGCATGCAGATTCATGGATAATGTCCTTATACATAATTCTGTTTGCTAAATGTATATATACACCTTATTCCAGTACACCAAGCTCATCAATATCTAACAGTTTCTCTAATGAGCTATGACCATTATATACAAGTTAGGACCTACAGTCACACTTCATTGTGGAGGCCAATGAAATCACTGTTCAGTGCTGAAAAGCCGTGAAGAAAAGCAACCAGGATGCGCATTCAAAATCTGGGCATTTTATGTGCCACCTTATTTGAAGTTACAAAACAGAAACATTTTCTTGGCTCTGACCTTTGGTAACCTGTGCAGTTATG